CATTTCTCTAATATCCAGCACCCATGCACCTTGTGTCTCTGTTCCGGGTGCGGATTTCTAGAGCTGGTTGTTTAGCAGTCCTGGGCTTTCACTCCCTCCCTGTTCTGACTCCTTTCTTCCCACCAGGTTTTGGGATGGGGGAGCGTTCGGGTACTGCCTAGCTGCGGCTTGTATCTTACCCCCTTTGTGTGATGCTGAGTTCTCGCAGATGTAGATGTATCCTGGCTGTTGTCCTGCATCCGCTGGTGTCTCTTTTAGGACTAGTTGTATTTATTTTATTTTCCATAAATATATATGTTTTGGGGAGGAGATTTCCTCTGAACTACTCACGCCGCCATCTTCCCGTGATCTAGCTTCAGTCTTTTTAAGCCATGCTGAATTTATTTCCTGACCTTAGGTGAATTATTTTTGATGCTAAAGCTTTGTTTCCTTGTTAGCAAAATGGAGGCTAGTAGTCATATTTACCTCAGATTGTTATGAGGATTAAAGGAGACAGAGCTTGGTAAGCAGTAAAGGGCTCAGTAAAAGCTAATTCTCATCACTGTCATGGTTATGTCACTGATTTCATAGTTTACCTGATAATGTAAATTCTTAGAGGCTGAAGGTTCTCCTTTGTCACAGAGACCACTGAAAACTAATCAGCCTCCTTGTCCTCCCTGAGTGGGATCCAGGGCTCCTGCAGCTGTGTCTTTCCATTCCCACTCTCTCATGCTTGCCATTCAGGAAAGTATTAGAGGTGCTTTGTGTTTCTGCCCTAAGATAAACTAGGGTGAGGTCATCCACTGTGCACAAACCTCAGGCTAGACCACAGTGGACACCCTCCTGGTCATATGCGTAAACATGGAAAAGATCATTTCACATAAACATGCAATTCTCACCATGCACTTTTCATAAACTCTCCAGCATAAAGGTGCATGTATATTTCTGCTCTTCTTAGAGACTGATAACTGTATTTTGGCCTTTTCATCTGTACAATCCTCAATTCAGAACAGGACAATATTTTTATACATATAATTTATTTAACTATTTTCATTTTTATGTTAATGTACATACTACAAGATGTACAAATATTAGTGTACAGCTTGAATTCTGATGTGTATACACTCATGTAGCCATCATACAGATCAAGATACCACTTTTTTCCCTTCTCCTATCTTACCCACCCCTACACTCTCCTTCCCTGTGACAACTATCAGTCTGTTATAAGTTACTTCGGTGTTTGTTTTTCTTTTCTCAGTATCTGCCTTGTGTCCCTTTGCATATATCCTCTAGGTCTTTCATGTCATCACAAATGGCAAGCAAGACTTCTTTTTTTATGGCTGAGTTATATTCCATTGAGTATATGTACCAGTTCTTCTTTATCCATTCATCTACTGATGGACATGTAGGGTGCCTTTATATTTTGGTTATTATAAATAATGCTGCAATGAACAGAGGGGCACAGTTCTCTCCAGATAAGTGACTTTGTTTCCTTCAGGTAGCTTCCCAGAAGTGCAATTGTTAAGTCATAAGTTATTTCTAATTTTAGTTTTTTGATGAACCTACAGACTGCTTTCCACAGTGGCTGCACCAGTCTGCAATCCCACCAGCAGTGTACAAGGGCCCCCTTTTCTCCACATCCTCGCCAGCACTTGTTATTTCCTGTCTTATTGATATTAGTCATTCTGACTGGTGTGAGGTGATCTCTCATTGTGGTTTTGATTTGCATTTCCCTGTTGATTAGAAATGTAGAGCATCTTTTTCATGTGTCCATTGGCCATCTGTATGTTTTGTTTGGAAAAATGTCTATTCAGGTCCTTGCGCATTTTGTAATCTGATTATTTGTGTTTTTGGTGTTGAGTTGTAAAAGTTCTTTATATATTTCGTATATTAGCCCCTCATTGGATATATCATTTGGAAATATATTTTCCCATACCCATGGTTGGCCTTTTCATTTTGTTGATGGTGTCATTTTCTGTGCAGAAGCTATTTAGTGTGATGTGTCCTACTTGTTTATTTTTTCTTTTGTTTTCCTTGTCTGGGGAGCCATATCCAGAAAAAATTACAAACACCAGTGTTCAAGAGTTTTCTTCTGGGAGTTTTATGGTTTTAGGTCTTTAACCCATTTAGAGTTTACTTTTGTGTGTGGTGTGATAGTGGTCTAGTTTCATTCTTTTGCATGTAGCTGCCCAGTTTTCCCATCACCATTTATTGAATAGACTGTACTTTCCCTATTGTATATTCTTGTCTCCTTTGTCATAAAATAGTTGACCAAATGGGCATGGGTTTATTTCTGGGCGCTCTAATCTATAGAACAATTATTATGTATCATGTAACATATCAAATATGGTCAGTGTTAGAGCAAGAGAGCCCCATGTGTTCTCTACTCTTGTTAATACTTTTAGTTGGTGTTTAGGACACTCAGACCTGAAGTAGAATCAGTTATTCAAACCTTAGCAGTGCTCTCACTAAAAGCAGAGTTTATTTCACCAGTTCTGAGGACCCAGCAACTAAACCACAATGACTGCTGATGAGAAAATTGTAAGCAACACAGATCAGTTTACAATGGGAATTTCTCACCAGTGGTCGATAACACAATATAGACACACTCACTGTAAAATCACCTCTAAGTTGGGAAGGATCTGTCAAGAGTAAAAAATATGAACACGTTTATGTCAAAAGCAGAATACTTTTGTAAAACTGACTTGCTTTATGGAGGACTCACTGAGAACCTTGCTGATAGTATGGAAAAATATTTATTCTCTTGCTCACCTCCTAAATGCCCAAATGTAAAACAATTTGAGATTTCACGTTTGCCCAAGGACATATGATAAAACTGAGACAAACTGGGCTCTTAAAATTTTGTCTTACAAAATAGTACATCATAATATTTGTATTTGACTTTACCCCAAGATACCACCTGTTCTTTTACAGGAAATATAAACTCAGTTTGGCATAATAGTGATGAACTCTAATTAAATAAACATTTCTTTTTCCCACAGCTGGGGTGAAGAAGGCCTACCAAAAGTTGCAAATGAAGTACCTATGTCCCAGAGGTGTTGATAAAATGGATTTTAATGTAAGAATCATATGAATAATTCAATGCTGTGGGTCCTGTAGTGGTGGGATTATTTTGCACTACACAAGAAACATGGAGTGTGCTTTACCTTAGATGTAGGCAGCCTAGTGGGCTGGAACCAGATGTAGGCCATTGGATTTGCTCTCAGGCTGTATCAGGTCAAATGGAGAGAGATGAAGAGGTCATGCTTCTTCGTTTTGATAAATCACACACATACATTTCCTTGGAGTGTAACAGTGATGTTGCCACCATTGTTTTGTTTTAAAACTTAGGAAATACTCAACCTGGTTGTAATAAAAGATGATAACTTAATGAATAATAGGGTCACCCATCTAGAAGAGAGTCTGCATAACTGTTCTTACATGAACAGTAGAGAATTATGGCCTTTGTTGTGCACAGGGACAGGGATGCAATTCCCACAGGTCATCATTCCTGCATGGAGGTTTCTTTACTTACAGGTGTTAGCTTGGACTGGTCTCAGGGGTCCGTCAGCTGCCTACTACATGTATAAGTATGAGCCTGACATGCATAGAAAATACCAGGTCCTTTCTCAAGATGCAGGTTGAAATAGATTCCCATTTGGCAGTGTGACATTTGCTCCAAGACAGCTTCTAAGTTGCCAGAAACATAAGGTTTTTCATTTGTTTCAAGCTGGACAGTTCCACTCACATCACAAGGCTCTTGAGACACTGAAGGAGAGCTTTGAAAAGGGATGGGTGTTATTGTTTTTGGAACTGGGACTGGAGATTGGCTTTTGATTGTTTTTTGCATGACACAAAAGATAATCCCAAAATACTAGCCAGTGACATAAAAAAAGATTACATTTCCCATATCTTCAAAAATAATGCTCTCTTGGGTCTCCATTCATGTGATAGTTAGCAGTGAACTCTTCTTAGAGTGACCCCCACCCTGAAATATTGCTGGGAGGCTCCCGAGGGATGTCCAGTATGTGATCACAAACCAGTTTGTTAGCTGAGCACTTAGCTATGTCTGCTTTGTCGTTCCTGTTAGTCAGGTTCCCACATAGCTGATCTTTTGCCCAAGACATAATTATATAGGCTTCACTGCTTATAGTCAGAATTATAGTATCCAAGTCAAGAATCAAGTCTACAGATCTTAAAACATTCATTCTTGAGTTGTGGATTAGTCAGGAGAGCTACACTACGCTGCAGTAACAAATTAATAAGTGTTTGTCTTTTACTCAGCAGTCAGTGCTCGATGGTTGTCTGTGGCCCCTTTCCTCTGAATGCGGATGATGCTATCTGAAACAGGCAGCCTCAGAAGCTACCGCAGAAGGACAGCAGAGCTTCATGGCCAGGCTTCGATGTCTGCATCACGTCTGCCCACATTCCTTTCTGCAGAACTCAGTCACGTGGCTCCACCCCAACTGCAGGGGAGGCTGTGGAAATGCCGTCTTCCTGTGTGTCCTGAAGAGTAAAAGGAAACATTAGGTAAATATGTAACACAGAGTCCACCACACAGAAGCAGTGCATGTCTGAGTTCTGGGCAGAAGTCTGGAAGACGCAGCCTTCCCTGTCCTCCCCCACCAGGACTCTGGCCATAGTATGACCCTACCTGAATCAGAAACAGATCAGCTTGAGCTCAGAGTCCCACTATTATTTCACTTAATTGTGGCTCTTATATCTTGAACTATCTAAGTTCAAACCGATTCGGGTGGTCCTGCTTAGAACAGGATACCATGCTCTTCTCCTAATAGTCTTTCATTCTGTTCCTACAATTCGTATTTCTAAATCTTATTCCTTACTTAGTTATAAAGCCCAAGTTACTGGCCATGCATCTGTGCAAACACAGAGGAGGAAAGGGTAGTGGGAGGTCACTCACACTAACACCATTGGGGTTCTGCCTTTGTCAGCAAAAGGGCTTTGAACCATGGGTTCTACCTGACTTTCAGCCTCTTCAGAAGACTGTGGGATAGGTGATGGAAAGATGGAACCACCGTAATTTGGAAAGCTCAACCTCCTAAAATTGCCTTCAGCCCCAAGGGACCCAGCACTTGAACAACAGTGGCTTAAAATGGTAAGGGTTCATCTTTTTTTACCTCCCTCACTCCTTCCATTATTTGTATTTTTATTTTTTACAGTCTGAAGGTAGGTATTTGCTGGTTCCACTCTTTAATGATCCTTAATATCCAGCAATTCTGGGGTTTTCTTGTTCTTTTGCTCATCTTTGTCAACCATGGTTGCAGAAGCAGAGTTGAAAAGGTAAGTAAAATGCAAAACAATGCTAGTGTCCTCATCATTTTTTTCTTTGAAAAACTATTTTTTATTAAGGTATCATTGATATACAATCTTATGAAGGTTTCACATGAGCAACATTGTGGTTACTACATTCACCCATATTATCAAGTCCCCCCAAGTACCCCATTGCAGTTACTGTCCATCAGTGTAGTAAGATGCTATAGAGTCTTCTTACTACTTGTCTTCTTTGTGCCATACTGCTTTCCCCGTGACCCCCCAATATTATGTGTGCTAATCAAAATACCCTGTAATCCCCTTCTCCTTCCCTCCCCACCCCCTTTTCCTTCGGTAACTGCTAGTCCTTTCTTGGAGTCTGTGATCTGCTGCTGTTTTGTTTCTTCAGTTCAGTTTTCCTTTGTTCTTATACTCTACATATGAATGAAATCATTTGGTATTTGTCTTTCCCCACCTGGCTTATTTCACTAAGCATAATACCCTCTACCTCCATCCATGTTTTTGCAAATGGTAGAATTTGTTTTCTTCTTATGGCTGAATAAGATTCCATTGTGTATATGTACCACACATTCTTTATCCATTCATCTATTGATGGATATTTAGGTTGCTTACCTATCTTGGCTATTGTAAATAGTGCTGCAATAAACATAGGGGTGCATATGTCTTTTGAATCTGAGATCTTGTTTTCTTAGGGAAAATTCCTAGTGGTGGAATTTCCAGGTCAAATGGTATTTCTATTTTTACTTTTTTTGAGGAACCTCCATATTGCTTTTCACAATGGTTGAACTAATTTACATTCTCACCAGCAGTGTAGCAGGGTTCCTGTTTCTCCACATTCTTGTCAGCATTTGTTGTTCCTTGTCTTTTTGATGTTGGTCATCCTAACTGGTGTGAGATGGTATCTCATTGTGGTTTTAATTTGTATTTCTCTCATGATTAGTGATGTGGAGCATCTTTTCATGTGCCTGTTAGCCATTTGAATTTCTTCTTCGAAGAAGTGTCTGTTCAGATTCTCCGCCCATTTTTTAATTGGGTTATTTGCTTTTTGGGTGTTGAGGCATGTGAATTCTTTATATATTTTGAATGTTAGCCCCGTGTCAGATATGTTGTTTACGAATATATTCTCCCATTGGTAGGATGTCTTTTTGTTCTACTGATGATGTCCTTTGCTCTACAAAAGTTTTTTAGTTTGATGTAGTCCCATGTGTTCATTTTTGCTTTTGTTTCCCTTGCCTGAGGAGATGTATTCAGGAAAAAGTTGCTCATGTTTATATTCAAGAGATTTTTGCCTAAGAATTTTATGGTTTCATGACTTACATTCAGGTCTTTTATCCATTTCAAGTTTACTTTTCAGTATGGACTTAGGCAGTAATCCAGTTTCATTCTCTTACACATAGTTGTCCAGTTTTGCTAATAGCAGTTGAAGAAGCTGTCATTCCCCACTGTATATCTATGGTTCCTTTATTGTAGCAATATACATGTGGGTTTATATCTGGGCTCTCTAATCTCAGTGTCTCTGAGTATTACACATATCCCTGCTTTCCAACCTCTCTAATCTCCAGAGCACCATGTAATGTGGGTTCGTGCTCCTGGAGCAGATGTCCAGGGTTGGGTATTTGGCAGTCCTGGGCTTCTACTCCCTCCCTGCTCCGTTTCTCTTCCTCCTGCTGGTGAGTGGGGGTGGGGGAGGGCTTGGGTCCTGCCGGATTGCGGCTTTGCTACTTTACCCTTTTCTGTGATGTGTTCTCTTTTCCACAGATGTAAGCCATCTGTTGCAGTCTACTTCCTGGTCACTCTTTAAGGATTAATTGTATTTGCTGTATTTCATGTTACATGTGGTTTGGGGATATTTCTGCCTTACTTCTCATGCCACCATCTTTATCCCCCACCTGTAGTCCTCTGGAAAAAGTAACTTTTTAATACAAACATTAGTTCTGTTAATAGTTAATGAGTTTTTTATTGCAGTACATTAAAAAATGCACAAATCTTACTGTACACAGCTCAATGAATTTTGACATGTGTATACAGTGTTACCATTATCTATATAAAAATATCAGATACTCTCATTAATTTTTTCCACTTCACCCATTTCCCCATTCCTCTTCCCTATGACAACCACCAGTCTGCTCTGTGTGTGAGAGTCTGTTTCTGGTTTTTTTTTTTAGAAGCCACATGTAAGTGAAAGCAAAAGGTATTTGTCTTTCTCTGTCCCACTTCAGTATAATACATTCTAGGTCCGTCCATGTTGTCTCAAGTGGCAAGGTTTCATTCTTTTCTATGGCTGAGTTCCATCATACATGTGTACCACATCTTCTTTATCCATTACTCTATCCATGGACATTTACGGTGCTTCCATATTTTGGCTCTTGCAAATAATGTTGTGATGAACATAGGAGTGCTTATATCTTTTCAGATTAGTGATTTTGTTTTGATTGGGTAAATTTCCAGAAGTGGAATTGCTGGGTTGTATGGTTTTTCTAATTTTAGCTTTTTGAAAAAACCTCCATACTTTCTCCACAGTGGGTGCACCAATCTGCAATTCCACCAGGAGTGTACAGGGAATATCTTTTCTCCATATCCTCACCAACAGTTGTTGTTTCCTGTGTTTTTGATGTTAGCCATTCTGAGTGGTGTGAGGTGGTTTCTCATTGTGGTTTTGATTTGCATTTTCCTCATTAGTAATGTGGAGCATCTTTTCATGTGTTCATTGGCTATTTGAATGTCTTGTTTGGAAAAATATATTTTCAAGTCCTTGCTCATTTTTTAATTGGATAAATTGTGTTTTTTTGTGTTGAGTTGTATGAGTTCTTTATATATTTTGGATATTAGCCCCTTGTCAGATATATCATTTGGAAATATATTCTCTCATACAACTTTTTGTTTTGTTGATGGTTTCCTTTGATGTACAGAAGCTGTTTAATTTGAACACTTGTTCATTTTTGCTTTTGTTCCCCTTGTCTTGGGAGACATCCAGAAAAAATTACAAATGCCAGTGTTCTAGAGTTTACTGCCTGTCTTATATTTATGTCTTTAATCCATTTTGAATTAATTATTTGTGTGGTGTAAGACAGTAATCCAGTTTCATTCTTTCACATGTAGCTGTCCAAGTTTCCCAACAGCATTTTTGAAGAGAACTATCTTTTCCACATTGTGTATTCTTGTCTTCTTTGCCATATATTGATAGACCATTAGGCATGGATTTATTTCTGGACTCTCTTCTGTTCCATTGATTGATGCGTCTGTTTCTGTGCTCATGCTGCACTGTTTTGATTACTGTAGCTTTGTTGGATAGTTTGTAGTCAGGTTGCCTAACACCCCCAGCTTTATTCTTCCTCAAGATTGCTTTGGATATTTGGGGTCTTTTGTGGTTCCATACATTTTTTAGGATTATTTGCTCTATTTCAGTGAAAAATGCTATGGTATTTTGATATGGATTGCATGAGATCTGTAGATTTCTTTGGACAATATGAACATTTAACAATATTAATATCTATCCATAAGCATGGAATATCTTTCCATTTGTCTCTTAAGTTTCTTTCATCAACCTCTTGTAGTTTTTAAAGTACATGTCTTTGGCTAGATGTATTCCTACATATTTATTCTTCTTGATGCAGTTGCACATGGAATCGATTTCTTCATTTCTCTGTTGTTTGTATATAAAAACAACAGATTGATATGATAATACATATTGATATTGTATCCTGTGATTTTACTGAATTACTTATTCTCATCATTTTTCGGTTTTGAGGTCTTTAGGGTTTTCTCTACATAACATGCCATATACAAATAGTGACAGTTACTTCTTCCTTACCAATTCAGATAGCTCTTATTTCTTATACTTTTCTGATTGCTTTGACTAGGATGACCAGTACTGTGCTGAATAAAAGTGGTGAGAGTAGGCATGCTTGTCTTATTCCTGACCTTAAAGAAAAAGCTTCAGCTTTTTGCCATTGACTAGGATATTAGCTGTGTGTTTGTCCTATATTGCTTTATTATATTTAGATATGTTCCCTCTATACCCATGTTGTTGAGGGTTTTTATCATGAATGGATATTGAATATTGTGAAATGCTTTTTTTAGCATCTTTTGAGATGGTCATGTGGTTTATTATCCTTCCATCTCTGAAATAAATCCCAACTGGTTGTGGTGAATGATCCTTTTAGCATATTTTAAAATTTGGTTTGGTAATATTTTGTGGAAGATTTTTGCATCTATGTTCATCAGGGATACTGGTGTGTCATTTTGTTTCTTTGTAGTAGCTTGGTTTTAGTATCAAGGTGATATTGGCCTTGTAGAATAAATTTGAAAGCTTTCCTACTCTTCAGTATTTTGGAACAATTTGAGAAGGATAGGTACTAACTCTTCTTTAAATGTTTGGTAGAATTCTCCTTTGAAGCCATCTGGCCCTATACCTTGTGGGGAGGTTTTTGTTACTGATTTAATTTCATTACTAGTAATTGGTCTTCCAGATTTTCTACTTCCTCCTCATTGAGCCATGGGAGATAGAATGTTTCTAGGAATTTATCCATTTCTTCAGTTGTCAAATTTGTTGGTATATATTTTTTCATAGTAGTCTTATAATCGTATGTACTTCTATGGTGTCTGTAACTTCTATTTCATTTCTGAATTTGAATCCTCTTTTTTCTTGATGAGTTTAGTAAATGGTTTATCAGTTTTATTTGTATTTTCAAAGAGCCAACTCTCAATTGATCTTTTTGTTTTTTAGTCTCTATTTCATTTATTTTCACTCTGATATTTTTTCCTTTTTTCTGTTAATATTGGACTTTGTTCTTTTAGGTATAGGGTTAGATTGTTTATTTGGGG